AAGGCACATGATCACTGTTGTGGTTGTAACACAGTATGAGAAAAACTGAGTAATTTTTTTCTCTTCTGTGACACGCTTCATTGACAAATTCTCGCGATGGTCCTTGGAGACGCATGATTCCCATACCTCTGAGGTATTATAGATGTAACAAAAAAACCAGACGAAAACCAGAAACTGCTAAAAGTCACTGCAGGGGACTTATATATGTCGAACTGAACGGAGACACTTGAGTATTGAAGCACTGAAGAGAAGAACTGTTGATACAGCACCGGAACAACACTCGATCGGTAGTAACGAACAGACAACTACAACGTTGACTCGAGGAGTCGAGAAATTTCTAGAAACATCGTCTAGATTTTTACTGCACAGATACGGTTTTATGAAACTATAACCAAAAACAGTTCTAAATTGGTAAACAGACAGTTTGTAAATATTTTAAAGATAAAAAAAAGGTCCCATGTCACAATTATTATCTGTAAGATCAATTGTAAGAAGATAAAGTAAATAAACAGCTACTATGATAGATCATATCCAAATATCCAACGGTATAGCTACTCGAAGTTTAAATGTTTTTTTTGATATAAGATATCTAGTTAAGTATATTTTTGTTCAATTTTCCTCTTCCAAGATAAGGTTTTTTTTTTTTTAATTAATTTTATTCTTGTACGGTTAACACTATTGAACAAAATATTTTACAAAGCATTTAATATGCTAGAGGTTATACCCAAATAGGTTTTGTTAATACCAAAAATAATGTTTTTTAAATTGTATTATTGGAATAACATACAATCTGTATTTCAGCCATAAAGAGTGTTTATGATGTGTTTACGCACATTACTAATAATTAATAACAAATAAGAAAAAACTACAAGATGAGAAAACTATAGAAGTCTTATATTGGGACCTTTAGGATAGAATTTATTTATTTATCACTCTCGTAAATTTAGGAGGTCAATGCACTAGCGTATTTTGAGTCAACATACATGGAGGTTATCAGGAATAGTGTGCTGCAGATTGCACATTATATTGTATTGGGGTTTTGAGTGAAACCTAAAGTATATTGTGACTAGTTAGTCAACATTTATCAATTTAAGTTCTTAAGAAGTCATTGATTAAAAAAAAAAAAATCGAAATTAAAGGCAATTGATAATAATACATTTACGCTAACTGTAAATTATATTTTATGGTTTTCATAAAATAAATAATTTTGGTATAGTTCATAATATTATATTTACCACGACAGTGGTAGGCGTAGAGGTGTACAAACACAACATTGCTTCGTTGTATTTTTGTTCTAACATCTACTAAAATACATATAAGATGAATATTATTACCTAAATAGATTTTATTAATATTTAAAATGACATTCTGATTTCAAACCAAACAGTATGTATTAAATCACATTCATTACACTAGATAAGTATATTTTATGCAATTATGTAAGTCATATATTATACATTACATTAGTGATTATTAATTTATTATTGTTATTAAAGTTGTTTTTCTCTAATTCATGTGTATACATTTATTTGCAAGTACAATACATTTTATTTTAAATACTTCCTCTATGGTACTCACGTGATTTATGATATTTTTCAATATACGTACCATAGCATAAATGGTTATGAACATTACAATTAATAATAATGTCAAGCTGACCTACTGGCCAAACTCTTTAAAATGTTTCACAGAATAGTTCCTTTTAAAAATAATTGAATTAAAATAAACAAAAACCCTACAAATTACCTAATGGCAAGAGTTATATAAAACCATGAACTACATAGATATAGTAGGTATCAGGTAACTGCAATATTTGCCATCAATATTAATCTTTATTGCGATTGGAGCTAGTCAATATTATTATTTATTATGAGAATTATTTTATATTCTGATTAGATTATAAAAAGATATCAAATACGATTTATGAATTAAAAATTAAAGATAGAATAGAATAAAACTCATATAAATGATAAGAAAGAAATAAATCTGAATTTTTTTCAGAATAATACTTCATGTCTTAACACTATTAACGAAATATCTTAAACGTAATGTTTCAGAGAATAATATTACATAGTAAGTTTACAACTGTAGAAAAGTATAAAGAATAGAACAAGTAACATAAAATAAATATATTTTCGACATTTCCACAGAACATTTTATTGTATTATTTGAACGTATAGTATGTCTTAGTGGACCTCTTAATTTTGTTAATTTAAACATTTCACCCTTCCAAATTATCCATTAGACTAAGTCAGTTGAGGCTCTCTGAAGTACCATCATATTGTAGAAGAAGGAGCGTCGAATGTGAAGTGAGACTACGATTGCGGCTCGAATTCATCTTGTGGCGCCAGCGTAAAAGTTTTTCCCGATACTCTAATGTGGAAAATTCCAAAGCAAATAGTAACCAAACGCACAATTAAAGGAAAAAACTACCGTCCTGGCAAAATTCATCACAGGATTTGTTTTTAACGTACGATGGGGAAAACAATGAAGTGAACAAAAAAAAAAAAAAAAACTCCTTAAGAATTCGAACGAAAACAGCGCAGGCCACAGACAATAAATCTCAACCGGAATTTTACGGTCGGTCGGACTAGATCGACCCTTCTCGGGCTCTGCTTACGAATTCATATCACACCGTCTTGGCCTGAGAAAGGCTAAAACCTTTATGTCTTTATAGGAGTTTATATCGTGAAAGTCGGTGAGGAAAACGACGAGCGGGACGTTATAAACGACCCGATAAAAGCCCCCGCTGCAGCTGGCCAAAAAAAAATTAATTATTATTAGCCGTGTATTGGTATGCCGTACGCGCTTTTTAACAACTGTTCCCTTGATGTTGCCCCCGAGCACGACTAACGTTGCAATCCAGAGCAGATCATATATCACTGATTTCGAATGAACAAAGAATTAAGAAACTACTACTCGAAATTAAGCGTATTAACCTTAATCGTTTTTGGAGAACTTCTATAGGTTTTGGAGCCATATTTTGATATGTCTTACTACGTAAAGTTAAAATAGTAATTCAATAAAACACAAGAACTACTTTAACTCGATCAGATATTTTATATTGTACTTTTAAAGTCTAATTTAGGTACGGTAAAAAAAATATTAGTGAGTAAAACACCGATAGCTCAGTGGGGCATTGAAATGTTTAGTTGGCTAAAAACAAGAAAATACAAATTAAAAGACCATATAAAAAAAAAATAGTAAAAAATAGTTTGAAGGATTTAAATCTCTAATGCGTCATATTATAATTCACAAAATAGCTTATTAAAGAATCTTTTTTTACTTACACGGAATCCATCATATTAAAGAAATAAATATAAATTAATAAAATTAAATTAAAAAATTGATAAATATTAATTCAAGCGAAATTATATTTGAATTACTGAAAATTAACTTAATCATACTTGTGAATGGTGATATTTGTTTTTCACATGGATTATTATTATAGACAATTATTGAAATTACAATCTTATGCTTAATTTAAAAATCCCTTGAATACAATTTGTAACTGGTTAATGATAAATGTGTATCGACCAAATGGGGTTTATTATTATTATCAGTAAAAATAGTTTTCTTAAACCTAGAAAAACTAGCAACTGCCACAATTTCTGTATGTCACAGCAAACACACTTTATACTCAACAATATATGAACTGCAAAATAAAAAAAGTCAATTCGAAATATTATCCAATTTATGCAATATTTTTACTAATTTTGTTTATCCAACTAAAATCAAGGAAATTATTTGATCAATTGGTTGTCATTAATTTTTCAATTAAAATGTACAAAAAAAAAACTTCAAAGTATGAAATGTAATTACTAATTAGATATTAAGTTCGCAGTGGTTACATTTTTCAAATATTGTTACTTTGTAGGTAGGTACTACGTTCAAACTTAAAATACCTCGTAATATGTATTTTCTATTAAAACGTCTGTGGTCGAAAATATTATAATGTGTTGCTATGGTGAGTGAGGATACGTAAAAGACAAAAACAATCTCTCACAAAACAAACTTTTTAAGTAAAGTCAAGAGATTTGGCACGATTCCTTTTAACAACAAAGGCGTTTATAGTTTGTACGCGTATAATATATCTTTCTATTCCATGCACTAATAAATTGAATTTTTTATGTACTATTTTGATTTTATAAAAAAATAAAGTCTGCGCTTCTTTTATCTACAATACGCAGTATGAATGGATATTATTTCATGCATTATAGAATTATATATTAAGGTAGCAAAACAAAATAATAAATAGTTTAAATCATCCAACCAATCAAAACTCATATGCAACAATTAAATGTAAAAAAGATTAGGCCATTAAATATGTACGAATTTCTGTAGGTATTCAATATTTTTTCTGATTTCCAATTAAAAACGACAACCCATTTCAAACATCTTTTTAAACACCACAAAAGCTAATAAAATATATATTCTAATATATAAAATATGCCATTCCACCCATTTTTCATTGTTTTCATCAAACATTTACGGATATATAATTTTTAAATATGTTGACTATCGAAATCGTCATAAGGTTTACTTTAGTGATAGGCAAAGCAGTAATAACAAAAAAATTTTAAATCTACCTACAGTAAACTCTATTACTGCTAAATAAATAAATATTATCATAAATAATCATAAAAAAATATACACATATTGAATGATCAATATTAAGAACTGTAAATAATTGTATATCATCCTTGTATTAATCAAATAAATATTCAATATAATATTCATCCTACTTTATAAGTTAATAATTTAAATGTGTAGAAATTATTTTTTAAATGTATCATAAAAATAAATATTGAAATAAATAATAATTGTTTGTGTTATAGATATTGAGGTGGACCTTGTGACAAGTGACAACCGAAACGATTAAAATACTGAGTTCTATAAATTACCGCTAATCGATCACAGCACTAAATTGGACCTTCATAATACGCTGTACAAATCGTTTTTACTAGGCTCAAATAAGAATTTTTTTTTTGGACCCTTACCATCTGGTACCGCAGACGATGCCATCAAGAAACCGACGCAAGCGGCTCCTGTACCGTGACCCATTAATGTCACGTTACTAGGGTCGCCACCAAATACTGCTATATTTTCCTGTATCCAGTGCAGGGCTGCTATTTGGTCCATGAGACCGTAGTTGGACGGTGACTTGAGGTGCTGATTGGAGTTGAGATTTAAAAAACCTAAAAAAATACGATTTCACATGAATAAAATAAAATAATAATAATAATAATAATAATAATAATAATAATAATAATAATAATAATAATAATAATAGCAAATAAAATAATAATAATAATAAAAAGAGATAAACGGGGACAATGCAACATTGATTTACAGCAAGCAGACATGAGCTTAAATCCAGCAGCCATTTGTTCATGATGTACACTTAAGATCCACGGAAAGGGCTGTGGCAGGGGTCTGAGGAGGAGAGATGAAAGTCTTTTTGTTGATACGGTCGAAGGAGAGAGAAAGAAATCAGTAGGAAGGAGGTTTGTTCCACGCTGAGCTCTTTTTTCCACTCTCTCAGGCCCGTTAAAGTGTAGTCTTAACGGGCGGATGTGACTTTAAGGCGGAGAGATGCGCTACACATAATCCATGACAATAAATGCTTCTGGGAATTCGGCTCAGTAGATGGTTACCAGATGATATCGATGAATGACAACGGCGACAATTGACGAGTAAGATATTTTTTAGTAAATTGCTCTTGTTTTTTTTTTTTTTTTACAGTTTATCCTTATTTTGATAATACAAATTTAATTTAGAAGTAGGCTACCTAAATTTAATGAGTTAATGGACTTATTTTTATGATTAAATAATTGTTTGTATTCTATTATCGGTTGTCTCAACTGCATTGTACATTGTTTAATTAGAATTGAACGCTAATCACGTTATAAATTATAAGTAATTTAATTATGTTAATATGAAATATGAAATAAATTATCAATAAATATATATTATATGGAATATTGTACTTGGACTTGAAAGCATTAAACGAATTTTTACTTGGATCTGTCATCTGTATGTATGCATGACACGGAGTTTTAATTGACATTTTGAGTTTAACAACTTAATGCATAAGTTGTTCCATGAAATGGTTAAACAATGGGTATTACTAATTATTATATAATATGATATGTTAAGCAATTCATATACTTGAATTCAATGATAAAACAATAATAATTTTTAAATTTAATATATTTGTTTTGAAACTGATTTGATGAATTAAAAATAAATAGCCACCAACTTTACTAACTATTGTTATATCGTTTGAATATAGAATAAATCACACGGTTATGAGATACGATATAGATTAATATTAGGTTTAGTTAAGTAGATTTTTTAAATCACGTTATTTATAATTTAATCCATCCGGATATACACGCCAAGTGTCAGGAGTTTGAGGAACTAATATAATATATAATATTATAAAGCTGTATAGGCATTAAACGCAGTCAATCATTCGTGATATACCAACATCAGTCAGCATGGTTTGATTTTATTTTAATAGGTGTGCATTAGATTATCAAAGGTGGGTAGTAAAATTCATCGCACATTTCAACTGACATTAATTTATGTTAAATCAATGACACAATATCAGCATTTGAGGTCTGTAATCCAATTTCGTTGCATTTGTTACGAATTTGGTAAGATTTTTGACAAGTGATTAATAACATTATATTATATGACGAATATTATAATATTGTACCGTGCAGTATAAATAACTATTACGTTTGCAAATATCTATATTGCGTATAATACAATTACATAATAATGATCATCAGAGTTGTAAAATATGCCTGATTTTACCACGCGTGGTGTAACCGTAGAATAAGGAATAATACAATATGGATTGTATTTAATAAGTAACAACACACATGTAAAATGTACAAATTTGAATACCTATTTGAATGTGCATACTTCATGAAAACAATTTAACAACTTGAATATAAATAAGCTTTCGGCACCTATTTTAATAATTAAACCTTAATTAAGCATAATGTATGGTAATCATTTTTAATAGCTCTTCAATAAAAAAACCATTATTTTGATCCATGATTTCAATGATTAATTATTTTCAATGTTCTTTGGTTTTTAAAAACTTGATAAAAGAAAATTATACAAAGCATATTTCGGTACTACTTACAAAACAAATACAATGAATATTGTATACAATTTAATGATACTTAATAAACATTAAATACGTTCCGAAATGTGGAGTATCCGATGCATTCAGTACAGTATGATAATTATTACAAAATATACTTTATCATTGTATATTTAACATTTTTACTAATCATTGTGAGATCATTTTGAATTCAATGTAAACGAAAACTTTGTTTTTTTAGCCCACTGTCATTTTAAGCAACGGCATTGTACTATGTTTAAATTGCCAAAAACTTCGTCCAATGTCCATTTCCCTCAGAACGAATCTCATTTAAAATTTAGATTTTTAAAACACTTAATATTTAGCAACATCTTTATAAAACTTTTTTCAATTTATTCTATGGTTTTTAAAGCGTGCCAAAATAATAGAATAATAATGACATAAAATGAGTGTTTTATTTCAGAATATATTTTTTTTGGATATTTTTTGAAACGGACATAAGATAAAGTGTGTATTATCATAAATTACAATTGCGGCCATAAATCCTAATAAATATTGACGCACCAAAATTATTTGACGTATTTTAAACACAGTATAAGGTAAAAAATATCCCAAATATTGAGGGAAAACTGTAATGGTAAAGTTGTTTAATATTTTTCAGTATAATATTTTAGGTTTTTTGTATACATAGGCGTATAGGTAGTTATAATAAAATTGAATTATTACGGCAATACTAAATTATTCTAATTTTTAATTGAAAGTACTATTTTTGGTACGCGTATGCCACGAAATCGTTATGGAACATGCGATTCATCTGAAATGGATCAAAATAGTAAACATAAAATACCAGAATGCACCGAGTGGACAAACAATGCGAAATTAAAGTTTGTTGATATCACACAGCTGTAGTCACGCGTAATAATATAATCCTTAACGTACATACGAGTAGGTATAAATTACAAACCTACGCCACGAATCAAATTCAATTATAGATAGGTAGGTATTGTAGTGTAAAATTAATGGAAGTCACTTCAACTCTGAACATACGTCGAGTCCAAAGATTTGCTGAGAGTTTTACAGATAAAACTCAACTGGACGGTCAGACTTGTTAAAGAAAACCACACGATATGATACAATATCAATAACAATAATATTGCAATTGCAGCGTTGCTCGGGTACATTGTTGAAAACTAATTGAATAAAGGATCAGATATTCCATCAGTCATGATAGCTTTAACGTCATGTCTATATACACCCACCTACGGAAATATGATTTCTCGTCTGTGTGTAACAAAATGTTACCAAGAAACTTTTCCAAAGGAGTGTTATGAAATTGAATTTGATTCATTTGACCTTTATTATTCATCGGCCGCAATTGAATTTCAACTTAATTAATTAGTCCACATAATGTACACAGAGAGCTCGAAATGATTCAATAATCGGCTATAATTGAAGATGCTTATTTCCAAGTTATGTGATTAATTTTAAAACAACACAGTTGTTTGTGATCGATTTATTATATCGTATAATTTTTTTTTCAACCCTAGGCGGCAGTAAAGGCCATTGGGATTTACAAAACATATTTACAATATATATATATATATGTAATAAACTAGTACAACAAAAGATTATACATCGTGTAAAATAATTAGTTTTACAATTTATTTATTAGTTTCGACACGACGATGAAGTCAACTGTTGATTTAGTTGACTCCGGGGAATTTCTAAGTGATGTGGAAATGTCCTCTGATAGGACGGCCTACTGTCATGATATTATTAAGTGTACGTTTTAATAAACGATAAATTCTATAGTATAGTAACAGTAACTATTGAGATATTGGCAGGCACGATATAGATGCTTTTGAGCAATTTAATATGTTTCATTGCACCAATACGTCGCAATTAATTATTTTGCACATTCAATTTTTTATTAATTTGTTTATTTAAATTTTTAAATAATTTCATTTTCATTAGCGTGAAACACTCAAATAATTTACGGCCGACAAACCAGGAGGTAAATCGTACGCCAATACAAGCCTGGACATAACCGAATTAAAAAGTTAAGTTTAAGGATCAGTTAATTTTAATATTTTATAATTTAATTTGTAGTAACTTATTTTTTAGCTTGACTTTTATTGATATAAAAGTAATTCCTAATTTATTGAGTTTATACTCAATAAATAAGGAGTTACATTAATACAATCTAAGTTCAGTTAATTATTTATAAATAATTAAATAATAAATATAACACAATTGTTTTTTATGACTCATATTGCATATCATTTAATTTTTATCATTTCAAACCATATTACTGGCTATTTATGCATTTAAAAAATGATAATAACTTGACATACCATAAGTTAATAAGTTAATATTGTAAGTTTCCATATAACTCTTAACTTAACTGAGTTAAAAACAAATTAAGATAATTATTAACTATAAACTTTTTGAAATTTTTTCTTTCAACTTAACTTAACTCAATTAAAAATGATAATTAATTTGCCCAGGTTTGCGTCAGTGGAATTGAAAATTACGAATACAATAATTCTAGTATGATACATAACAGAGATTAATGTCGACGATCTGTGTTAACTATGATTTATATTTTATACTACAATATTATATAATATTTTGTAACAAGATTGTAGAATTTAAAAATTGTAGGTATACAGTGAAAAATAATTTATTTGTTTTTGTTAATGAAACGATTTTTTAGAAAATCCCTTACATTAGCTGTAAGTTTTTCATGCATGGTATATAATATTATAATATTATTTATCGAACAATACGCGTACAAGTTGTTGTATAGCAATTCGCAACTTTATCAAACATGCAATAAAACTACTGCGCATCCAAATGTTTCAGTGGCAATGGCACGGACAACAATGAACTATATCTGGAAAGCGTTATGAACAAAAATACTTTGTTATCATAAATCTTTATTTTCCCAAACTAAAGTCTGCTACGGAAAAAAGTAGGAGGATAAACAAGATCATGATGACTGAGTTATAATAAATTTAAAAAAATGTATAAGAAAGTAATATTTTTAATTAGTTAAACTTTTCAATTTACGAC